AAATAAAAAAGGGGCAAGGCAAAAAAAGAAAGAAAATTAAAAAAAGACCCCCAAAACATGAGTATCTCACAGTCAGCTGTTTGAAAACTGGAACTGGGGCACAGAGCAGACATTTCATGTGACTTTTAACTCCAAATCTATTTTGTCTATAGCTTCACCAAGCAAGCTCTTCACATTCTTATACCCAGGTCCTCATTTATTTTTCTCTCTTAGGTGTTTTCTAGTGGGATGAGAGTGGGAGGTTGCGGGAAGGAGCAGAATGAATGAAAAACGAGTGAGTGTTGTTTACATGTGGATCCTGGGGACTCCCATAAAGCCTAAAAAAGAAGCAGTGGAGGAGGATGTGACTGCCTGCTGAAGGGCTCTGTGGGCTACATCCTGTGGCCTGTGGCTAGGACAGAGCTTGCACAACCTTTTTGTTTGGTTGTTTTTTTTTTTCTGTGTGTGCTAGGTCCTTAGACAATGCTTACCCATAATGGCATATGTATCTAATATAAAAAGAAAGACCATGCCCTGGCACCACACCATTATTGTCAGTACACACATCCTGCACACACTTGGTGTGTTGATTAGACAGATAGGAACCTGATGTTAGCTAGTACGATGTTACAAGGATGAACTTTCACTGTGGGAACCATGTTGGGTTTTTTTCTCCAATACAATCTGAATTTTAGTCCTACAGTTTTCCCCAGCTCCGTAAAACTTTTCTGAAATGCCTTTATATCACTTCATGTAGTTCAGCAGAGTGTAAAATAACCTCTTGGCGGTTGCTTTAGTTCTGTCATATTCTGTTTACAAATTCAAAAGAACCTAACATAAATAGCTGTCAACACTTAGATATTACTGTGATTCACTGACTTCACCACAAGAATTTTGGTGCAGCGGCAGAAAGAGCATCAGTATAAAAATCTTATCTTGAAAACCATTGCAGTTGTTAATCTCTCTTTCAGTGAGTGTGCACAGTGAATCCAATGCTTCCATTTGAGATGTAATTACACAGTTGCCAGAACAGGGCATCACAATGGTACCTCAGCATTAGTGTGCGGGCCTGAACCACCTAGAGTGAAGGGCTTTCTTTTTCTTGTGTTGTTCCAGGAGGTACTGCTTTGACCATCTAGATTTAAAAACTCATGTAAACAGGGGGAAGAGGGAGAAAAGAGAAAAAAAGAGAGAAGAAAACAATAAAACCAAAGCATGTGTGTCTCTTCTTCTTAACTGCTATTTATTCATAGGTCAAAACTTCCTAAAATTCCATTGAATTTTTTTTTTGGGGGGATCAATTCTGACAAAATCCTACTATGCCATTTTCAGGCCTAAGGAGTTCAGCTTCAAGCAGAGGCTATTTTGGGTCTCTTTTTTGTTATAGCTATTTAATATCTAGCTGTAGACTGGGAAAAACTTGCAGCACTGATAGCAAGCTCCCTACCTGTGCTCCTGTGGCCTGTAACATCTCAGACCTGTATTGTGAAAAGCCATCAGCACACAGCAAACGCTGCAGACTGGGATTTAAATCATGTCTGCTGTGCCATGGGAAAAGAGAAGCAGAGAGACTTGTTGATCCACTTTTACATAACTGTGCAGTGGACAAAAAAGCATCCAGCATGTGTTATGTTGTGGAAGGCACCAAGCTGCAGCCTTTCCTTCTCAGTCCTCCAAACCAAAATGCACAAACACTGCAGGAGAGTTTGTGTTGCACAATGACAAACAACTAACTCATCTCTGGCTACAGGGGGTCTATGCAGGTGGAACTGGGATGTCCTCAGCTGGTTCAGTTCAGCCTTATGTCTGGAAATGCAGCCTCCGGGGACATGAGTTTGACATCTCTTCTACGAGGCCTGATTTCTCTGAGAGCACCATGTTACCTTGCTTATGTGCTGATTCAGGAGGCTCTGAATTGCACAGAGACTATTCTGGATAGTAAATATATCCTAGGAGATATATTTAGCTCTTGTGGAAGCTCGTGGAGCCTCACTGAAATACGTGGACTAATTGAGGAGTAAGGTAAAACCACTGGCTTTAGTGGGTTTTATGCACAGGCTGAATGGACTGAGTGTTGTCTTCCTTTTTTTTTCTTTATGAAATGGTAAACAAGGTGCATCTTAGGGCACAGTTCTGGCTAAAATGTTCCATCTAGCTACTCCAATTGATTAAATTCATCTGGCAATCAAATGGATAACTGGATAAAATCGAGCAAAGTAATGATAGACTGTGAGCAATAACTTCTACAGTAGCACTAGAAAGATGTCCCATTGTGTCAGTGCCACGAAGCAGTCAGGTAAGAGACTTTGCACTGAGCTTCTAAGAAAAAGTTATGTGTTTTCAGGTACTCAGTGTAGTGTATTTAGGAAAAAGACTTGCATAGTCAGCAGGCTGGATTGATAAATTTGTTGGCATAAAATGCCAGAAAGAACTTTCTGAATTAATTGGAGGTGGCAAGATGACACAGGGCATCCAGCATTCAAATACATGATTCCTAGGAATGAGAAGCTGACATGGATTCTAGCTCTTTGGATAAAGGCCAGAGTTTCATGCAAACGAACAAGGCATGAAACTGCTTCACTGTGGAAACTTCACTGGGAGCTGCCTAGTCTGGGTGACCAGTGCTCTATGGGAAAGCCTCATCAGTGGGGGCTGAAGTTTCTTCCTGGCAATGGCTAGGGAGAGCAGAGAAGAGTTTCTACCTTTACTCTCTCTGACAAGGATTCTGCTTTGGAGGGGACTAAGACTGCCTGGCAGAACTGTAATTACACTCAGGATTATTGGGGATTGTACAAATTAAATGATGAAGACATACAGGTGTCCCAGAAGAAATCCAGGCTGCAGTGCCTTGGGAGTCTCAGCAGCTTGGTCTCAGTCAATGCAGGAGTAAGCGGTGTGACTTTGGCAAGTTGCTAACCCTCATGTGTAGCTGTAGCCAGTCACTGTTATTTTTACTGGACTACAGTTCTTCATTTTCAGTCTATTAAAAATGATTAAAAAATAAAATACATGAACAAAGATGTATAAACACATGGTTCATATTTTATGGGAATTTTGGTTTGGTTGCACTTGAAGCCAAGCACATGTTCCACTTGCACACATTCTGTCGTATACATTGTGTATTATAGTATGACCGGTGCACCCACAGACAGCTAATTTTTAATTCAAGTGCTTGATATTCTCAGCAAAAGTGAATTCATAAATAGTGTGCATTACCAGGATTTGTGCAAACTGTGTTTTACACTTGCCTGGATTTCTGTTTCCTGGCCACTAAAGCTCTTAGGACTTTCCTAGCCACTAAAGCTCTTAGACTGTCTAGTCTAACTTTCTGCATAACAAGGCCAATGGTTTCTACAGTGAGTTCAGTATCTTGCATCTGAAGCAGACAGCATTTTTTTATAGGCATCCAGACTTGATTTAAAAGCTCCAAGTGTCATGGTATATTCCAGGGCAAGCAATTCCAGTGGTTAATTACCTGCACTGTTATAAACGTGTGTCTTGTCTCCAGTTTGAAGTTTGCTGAGTTCAGCTTCCAGGCTCTGCACCTTTGAATGTGAAATGTGAAACTCTCACTTTTTGTTGATTACTTGTATAGTTTATCCAAACAAGAAAAGGAAATGATTCTCTGTGGCTAGTGAGTAGGGTGGGCAGGAGGGTGTTAGCATTCCTGCCCTTCTGCAAAAGTAATTATGAAAGATGCCAAGCAGTGGTTTTTAAAGCCCTGTCTAACCTGGCCTTGAACACTGCCAGAGATGGGACAGCCATAGTTTCTCTGGCCAACCTGTGCCAGCTCCTCATCACCCTCATAGTGAAGAATTTCTTCCTATTATCTCATCTAAATCTCCCCTCTTTCAGTTTAAAGCCATTCCCCCTTGTCTCATCCCTATGTGCCCTTGTAAAAAGTCCCTCTCAAAATGTATTTAAGAAATCCAGGAGTTTCCAAACATACTGTTTTCTTCAAAGCAGTTTATATACTTTTAGTCCAACACAAAATTAAGCAAAAGGCCAGAAAGCATCTGTTTACTGCTAAATAACAAGAAATCATAAAATTTCTCTCTTTTTCCACCCTCATTTGGGAATTCAGCATACTCTTAGGAGAAAGTCAGTGTCTTTTTTTTAGCATTAATTCCTACAAGTTTTCTTATATGATCTTCATATCATGTGAATATTATATAAGAATGACATGCAAATTATGCAGAACTTTGGAGTAAAAGGCTGGTGTCTGTCCCCAGTGGGACAGCAGCTGCTTCTCCCTCAGTTTCGTGCTAATATTTATTTCATTGGCCTGCCTGATTAACTTTATCCAATGTTTCTGCAGTGCCTCCACACCAATCTTTTGATTGTTGCCAGGGCTTAGCAATTTCTGGAGTGATATTGTACAGCTTGTCTGGGAAATCTCAATGCAGATGGAAGCTGGCTGCTATGTGTGTTACTGTTGGCAGTGACTATATATTTCTATATGTTTAGAGCATTATTAGCAATTTCTTTTCTTTTCCTTTTTTTTTTTTTTTTTTTTTTTTAAGTGGGGAAACAATAGATTTTACCAAGCTCACCTCTGTTTGTGAGGGACTTACTCAGATTTTACCCTAATGCATGTAGGGAGATACTTCAAAGACAGTGGCCAGAGAATGCTTGGAGTGATTTGAATTACACGCTCTGATGGGGAGAAAGTGGAGACCACTTGCAATAATGGAGTTTAAGAATCTCCAGAATACTTTGGAAAGTGTTTCTGGACTCTACGAGAGTATATGCTGGGAATGCTGAGAAACAGCTCCTTCCTGCGAAAGAATCACTGGAAAATGTCACAGCAGACTTATCCATTCCTCCTTATCGCTGCCCACCATGGGCTACAACAGAGCAAAGATGAGGAGAAAGAGAAAAAAGGGGGGTGCAGGCAGTAGCTTTAATTGGGTGTTTTAAAGGTTCTAGGAGAAAGGGAATGTGTATGGTACTGCAGGGTTCAATCTACATTATTAAGAGGAAACATGCTATAATAAAACTTTTCTGAAGTATTGTTCCAGATGCTTCTGAAATGAGGGGGAGGGGGAATAAAAAATCCAGAATAAAAGGAGAGAAAAGAAGAAAGGAAAACAAAAAAGGAAAATTTTGAGGACACAGCAATGGAAGGAGGTGAACCAATCATTCCCCACTTCATATTCTCCATCTGAGCCCATGAATATGCAAGTGAATATCAGAGCAAACATTATCACTGACACAGATTCCCTTCCACAGCATATTTGTGTTGCCATGCATATGAATAATTGCATTAGTAAGGCAGAAGGTCTGGTTCCCATATTTTACATGCATCTATATTTTTTATGTGGCCATGCTTTGCACCCTAATTATATGGTGCTGGAAACAGCCATTTGTCTTGTTTCTTCCCAGTATGAACAAGATCTTTTTTCCAGCTGATCCAGTACATAAAAGAAATTGGAGCAAGAATAAAAAGTGTCAGCTCAAGCTACATCTGAACAAGACAGAGGCAAAAGGAAAGCATTTTAGTGAAGTGACGAAGGTCGGATCATCTGCCATCTGGTAGGAACTCATTGTATTAGCAGACCATGTTTAATTCTACATCTGCATAGCAGCAATAACTGTCTTTTATGTTCTGCCTCTTTCTTTTCGATGTAAGCTTCATTACTAAAATAGATGGATACATAGATGAGATGACATGACTACATCCTCTAGCACCCTGTTTCCCAGCTGCGGGGGAACATGACGCAAGCACATAGTGGTAGCACTCCCTGTGACTCTCGTGTTTGGCACCAGTCACAGTGTCAGGGCTGCTTCCAGCCTTCAGGTCTCCTGGGACCGATGTATTGCACCAGCATCCAGATCCTCGACTAGTATCTACTATCCTCCACTAGTATCCAGACAATTGTGATCAGGCCTCTGCCAGCTGATCTATTAAAGCAGAACACTCCTGAGAATCTGGCAGAGCATGTGTCCTGAGCTACTCAATTTTGGAAGTCTCACCAATCCCACTCTGAGGTCAGGATAAGCCCTTGATAATTTTCAACTCAGAGCAAACCCATTTTTGCAGATACTAGATGAATTCACTACTGAGCAGAAGGCTAGCACTGTAGTACTTAAATATCATTTGAGCCTTATCTGAAGATTTTAATTGGACTTATTTGGTATATGATCTTGGCCTAGTCTTGGCACAAGGGTTATTTTCACCCGAAATGAACTACTGAGGAGCTGACAACATCCTTTGGAAGAAAACCAGCAAGAAGTCATTACTCTTGGGATAGCTGTGAACTCCAGGAGAGTTAGAGAAGTATTTCCTTCTTAGGCAGAAAGCAGCATCATATAAAGCAATTAACCCAAGTGCTGGGCTTATATGCAATGCTAAGATAGCTAGAGTAACTGAAAAATATTTACTTACATTCAATATGCAATATCTTCGTAGTTTGGATCATGTTACTGTCTGCTCCTTGATATGGTTTCAATTATTTTCACAAACCATTAAAGTCAAACTGATGAAATTGACCCATCCTGTGGAACACATCTATTTATGGAATGGATGTGCCCTGTACCAATAAGAATCATAGAATCATTTAGGTTGGAAAAGACCTTTAAGATCCTCAAGTCCAACTGTTAACTCAGCACTGTCAAGTCCACCGCTAAACCATGTCCCTAAGTGCCACATCTACACATCTTTTAAGCATCTCCAGGGATGGTGACTCAACCACTTCCCTGGGCAGCCTGTTTTTGTGAAATGTCTTTCCTAATATCCAATCTAAACCTCCCCTGGTGCAACTTGAGGCTATTTTCTCTTGTCCTATTGCTTGCTAGCGGGGAGAAGAGATGAACACCTGCCTCACTACAACCTCCTTTCAGGTAGTTGTAGAGGATAGTAAGGCCTCCCAGACTGTTTTCTCTCTGTTATATTGTATTTCCAGAAGATATCTGGTAAGATGAATTCCCCCATGAGGACCAGGTCTACTGATGGTGAAACTTCTCTCAGACGCTTATAGAATATTTCATCTGCGTCTGCATCCTGGCTGGATGGTCTATAACAGACTGCCACCACGACACCTGCCTTCTCAGCCTTCCCCATTAACGCTCAACCCTAACCACCACCATTAAGTTCTATACAATCAAAGCACTCCCTCACACATGGCTGTCCCACCACCTCTCCTTCCTTGTCTATCCCTTCAGAAGACTTTATAGCCATCCACTGCAGCACTCCAGTTGCGAGTCATTCCACCATGCTTCCGTGATAGCAACTATGTCATAGTTTTCCTGCTGTGCGATGGCTTCCAGCTCCACCTGTTTGTTACCCAGGTTGCATGCATTGGTGTAGATGCATGCTTCAGTTGGGCTATTGATCCTGCCACCTTCTGGAGGGAAGTCCTAATTCCTACATGACCATTCTCAGGATCTTCTGTGGTTTTTAACACATCAATAACCCTTGTTCCTTCGCTGCTAGGGATCTTTTAAAGGAAAATACATTATCTGAGTGCTTTTCAACTGTGTTCTCTAGTCCTGTGCACTTGTCATCATCTAAAGCCATACCAGCCTCTGGGTAGCACTTTTTTAGCAGTTCAGAAGATTTATGTGTCTGTTGCTGTGCTGAATTCCATTCTTTGAGTAAGCACAGAGTACTGAAACTCTCTTTTGAGGAGTGAGGGAGGAGGAGGAAAGATTAAAGCAGCTCATGTGCTTCTTACATAAAACTTGAGAAGCTAATGAAAAGCAATTTGATTAAAATATGATTAAAAAGATGTTCTGTGGCATGCCTGAAGCTGATGTTTTTAGATGACATAGGTGCATGGGGGAGAAGGAGGGAGTTTGCTTGTTGATATTTCTTTCTTTTTTTTAAGGATAGTAACACCTAATATTACAAGCTGCCCTGCAGGAAAGCCTCGTGGGACTAGTAGAGCACTACTACAGTGAAGGAGTGTCTTTGCAGCAGATGGTGAAGAGGGCAGCCCTGAATTTGCATCCTTGGTTGAGAATATTTTTATGCAATTAAAAACCTGGCTCTGCCTTACATTAGGGCTGCTCTTCATCACCCCAGGAATATAAAATGGATTTGAAGTGAGTGTAAGTGTAACTTACAACAGCTATAAAGCAACTTTGCATCTTACAGCAGTTTAAAACCTTGGGGTAAGTGAGAATCTGGATTCCCAATGTATAAATTATGGCCACTCTGACTGAAAATGAATTGAAGAGTTTTATATTTTGTAATGCTATCACTAAGCCAACTTCACTAAGTTAGTTACATTTATTTCAATATAGCAGTTCTATTCATTAGAGCTCCTTAAACAGTATGGCAGTCTCCAGGTTTCACTGGTTTGCTTTGTAAATATTTGGGAGTTTTACAGATACACATTCAGAGATCAGATTGTTCTCTCCTTTTTTTTCATTCCGTCTTTCCTAGGAAGACATAGCACAGGAGGTCAGTACAGAAAACACATTCTAGTCCATTGTTTCTTTTCATGTTCATTATGCTTCTTTAAATAATACATCACAAGACACTTTATGAGAGTTTTTCTCAATGAAATTGAAGGTTTTGGTATTTGTTCCTTGGATATTAACTTACTGTGATTAATTATCTCGCCTCTAACACCAGTTATGGTCTGTTTGTTACCACTGAGCCCTCAGTTGGCATTGATGGTACTTGAATAAATCATTTACTCCAGGATGCGTTCCATGCATCTTACTTTTAAAATAGCAGGGATTTAATCTATACTATTTTCGGGACAAAAAGGGAGAAAAATAAGTAGTAAATCATGAAATCTTTATGAAAACAAATAAGGTTCCACTCTTGCAAAAGATTATACACATTCCCTTTTGATTTTGTGTCTCTGACAATGGCATTACTCCTGTAAAAAAGGAGGCAGAAAAGCAGCCTGGGTACTGAACATACTGAGCATCACGTCTTACTTTGGGATCTCATCAGCTGCTTCTGCCACTAGTAGTTTTTAATACCATGCCAGAATTAAATTAGCTATTAGTTACTTATAATGCAAAATGAATATATATCTTGCTATTTTGCTGTTCCCATTTCCTTCCAGTATTGTTCCTTTCTCTCTCAACAGGAATTGGTCATGATGTTTGCTACTGCAACAGCATCTCAAAAAAAAGCAATGAGCTTTCCCTCCATTCCTTTCTTCATTTATATTTTCTGGAAGATTTTAATATTCACAGGGATAACATCTCAAGGCCTATTGCAAAATCTGCGTTCCATAGTCTCCCATTAAAAGCAATGTCTAATTAAGAACCAAAGCCTGCGGGATGAGCTCTCTGGGAGCAAATGACTAATTCTTGATAGCAGGACTGTGGTTTTAAGCCGTTGCCAGCATCTTGAGAACAGTTCGATGCTGGAAGCTGCTCCCAAGGGTCCTTTCTTTCAGTTTCACAAAGTACTGACACAGGTGAAGCAGCTGAGGTAGATGCTCCTCACCACTGTGCAGAGAGGATTAGGATGTGCACACCAGCAGGGGGAGATGAGGGGTTGTCTTTCCACTTCTGGGAACCTTGGCACTGTTGTCTGCCTCCAGATACATCTATTTCTTCTACACTAAGGCCTTTCCACTGCACAGACTTGCAGTGCTTAATTAAAGCTATAATTTTAAATACATTTAGGTATATCATTGCAGTGCTCTACTGTATACAGAAGATGAGTTAAATCTGCTGCGTGCACCAGTGAATTTATAGGGACAAGCTACTCCAGCAGATTGAGTTTTAAACCAATGCACATTTATCCACACTGTTGGACTCTGCCTGGGCTACTGGCCCTGCAGCTGGATGCAATAGGGCAACTGGGACTGTGGCCCAGCTGTGCAGGAGCTATGGCTTGGCTAATTTCCTCTAATAGCAGATGTGTCAGGCAACTCCACCAGTTGCTCTTGGCAGTCTGCAGTGCCATTTGGCTGTAGTTTTGCTTCTGACTCTTGCTTTTCATTCCTGTTTGCTTAGTCTTGATCCCTGGTTCCCGTCTCCTTTGTGTTATGCTGCTATAATTCACCTTGTTCCAGCCCTGACTTATAATAGGGACTCTGTGGTTTTCAACCTTCTGGCTCCATGAATTTCTGACTATGCTTTTCAGTTTGGTATGACTCTTTGCATCTCTGGTGTCTTGATTTATGCTGGCTTCAGTACTTGTCTCCAAACTTAATACCACCTTTGGGCTTACTAAAGTAGCCTGATGAAAGTATGTGCCCCTTAAGAAATCTGAAATTGCAGTGGAGGAAACTTGCATTGACAGCACTGGAAACAGGACAGATGTGGAAGTCCCTTGCATGATTTCTCTTGAGTTTGCATGCTGCTAGGGATTACAGACATGACTTCTGAATTAGTTTAGCACCAGAGGCTTCATACAAATGCAAGTATTCATTTGCAGCCTTAGATGACAATAGCTATGCTTCTTTTATATTGAAATACGTTGTAAGCAGGCCAGTTTTGGTAGGGAATATAACTATTTCCAGGGTTCAAGGTTATTTTCTTTCATTTCTTTTCTTTCACTATCTGTTGACTTTTCAAATGTCAGTCAAGCTCTGTATAACTGGTCATGGCACCATTTGTTACTGGTTTTGATGTTGATTCAGCATCCTGGAATTTGGAGCTGACCTGTTTTCCCTCTCCAGTATTCCAGATGCCACTGCTTGCATTTTATTCCAACACAATTCATTTTGATATCATCCGTTCCGTGACTCTCTGTAGAATTATCTATTTTGCTTACTTTCTAAACCAGGCACAGTATCATTAACAGTGTGTACAAGTTCTTCTAAAAGCTTCAGGACCAAATCCAGAACCTGTATAAATAGCTGAGCCAAAAGCCCAACAGATGAATGCAAGGGGAAAACATGCAAAGCTCCAGAGGGGCTGATGATGCAACAGGTTAAATGCCTGAGGAGGATGCCTGAAGACCACACATGGGGAAAGGGGAGGATACATTTGGTGATGGATTATGTGGCTATGCTTTGCCATCTGAACTTTCCATCCCTTTGCAAACATAACCAGAAAGCGTTTGTATGATACAAAGAATTGTTTTGTGCTACAGGCCCTTTATCTAGCTCCCTCTTGTGTACTGAGGTAGAGTAAGAGTGGAAACAATTCATCAAGAAATTCTCAGACTGGAACACTCAATGATTATATAAATTGACATACATATATATACATATACACGGTCCTTTGTGTAGGTTCTCTCCACTGGGGTGAATTGCTTCTTCTGAATATCATGAAACCAAATGGCATGTAGAGCACTGGTAAATGATACTGACTTTCCAAGGCTAGTACATAGCACTTGCTATCAAATTTATTTTGGTCAGATGTAGACTAATATAGATATTTTGGGAGTTTTAGGTGCTTGTAGTCAGTGCTGTGAGTGTGGGCTGTAACAGAACATTGATCTCTCTGTGGAACATCTCCTGAAGACACACTGTCAACATAGATTAGTACATAGTGGTTTTAGTCTTGTAGATAACTATGTTATAGAGACTATGGCCTAGGCAATAGAGTTAGATACATGGGTGTTAAGAATCCCCATTAATTTTTATATCGAAGGGTAGTAAACTGAAAAAAATCACTCTTTAAAGAAAATACAGATCTCTCTTTAAAGAAAAATCAGGAAAAGAATCAGTTAAGGCAGCATCAATATCCAGTCTAACCTCATTGCACATGTTTTCCATGCAGCCAAACATAATACTCAAGAGCACTAACTCCCCTTTACTTCCAAGATACTGTCAAACTTACATTTATTACATGTGAAGCCAGAATTTCTAGGGGCTAAAAGATGTGTGAAGAACAGACTCCCTATAGCTAGAACAGTCTTTCTCTAATAATAATGATTAAAATTTTAAACGCTATCATCTCTTACAATCAATACTTTAAAACAGTATCTTAATTGGTTGAATCAGTGTGCAAATGCATGGTTACATTTCTAGAAGATAATCTTCATCTTGCTGCTGAAATAAAGTCCAAGCAACTCGATTGCTGATTTGTCATGAGACCTATGGCAATGTTTGGAATCTGTTAGCCTGTAGTTCTTTAT